AATATTACCTATCGGATAGTACCTATTGGTACTTCTTTTTCAGTATTGAAACTTACTTAGTTGGAAAAGAGGAGTTCATTCTTGTCATTTTGTTCCTGTTACTTGCCTGCTGAGGGTGTGTTGCTCTTTTCTGTGTCTTTGTCTTGCCTCCACTGCTGTGAGTAGGTAGGCATCACACCGTTGCTTCACAGCCCAGCATTCTGACTTTATTCTGTGCTGGCTTCCTCGTTCTTTACAGACAGTGCTTATGGACCAGACCCGCTTTCAGGAAATACAGCTGGAGCTGGAGCAGCTCCTCTTGACTGGGACTGTCCTTCTGGTCACGTTCAGTGCAGCAGGCTCGGCACTCGTTGATATGCCTGGATTTGCTGAGAAAATCAAAACCATTGTCAAGGTGCTACTGACAGGAATGCATCTGCCGTGAGTATTGAATAATCCTAGCCTCACGGAGGCAGGCATAGCTCCGTTTTCACCATAGTAAAGTTTAAGCCTCTCGCTGCCTGTGGACTGCAGAATGTGTAGAGGAGGTGATGAGAGCTTTTTATGAGCCCAGGCTGACAATTTTTATTCAGCTTACTTGGACAGAACTGTCTTTTGTTGCTTTGGTCTTTGTGGATATGTACCTGCTCCTTTTTTCAGAGTATGTTTTTCATAACGCCTGGTTGGCACATGAGAGTGCAAGCAGCTAACCGTGCTGACAGTTTGGGCCAGGCTGCCTTGAGAATTTGAGTGCGGTGCAGTAAGCCGCTTGCCGATCTAGAATGATTGCTCTGCACATTATGGGTTGATAACTGTTTTCTGCATGTTGGAGCTGTCTGTCTAGGCAGAGTGTCAGCTCTTATTTGTATGGATCGTTCAGGCTGGGAATCTTTAATGCTATCCTACCTCCTTGTTTTATATCACAATTTCTTTTTTCACAGATACATATATATTCTTTATAGTTCTGGCTTTATCTGGATTATGCTTCTTCCATTACTTTTGATAAACAAGGCAACTATAACTGGGTAGTTTATTTTTAAAAGGTGGGGGGAAGCAAATAACTACTATAGCTAAGTAATGCTCGACTCCCAATTCTCTAGCTCCTTTAACCTGCAGGAATCTTTGGCTACCGTTGGTGAAAAGGTGTGTGCTGAAGTTAACAGCTGCCTTTCCCAGCACGGGTTTACACCGTTCTCTGCTGAGAGAGAGACTGTACTTAAAGGACAAATCCAAGCAGTGGCCAATCCAGATAACACCATATGCAAGCTAATAGGTATGCTTTGACAAAAATGCTCTGTTCTCAAGTGAGCGCTCGTCCGTCTTTGTAAAACTGTTCGTGGCATGTCATGCATGGTTTCTCATTTGATCTGTTTCAGTACTTGTTTATGATGTTCAGGCTTTCTGTATTTTATGTGAGGTTACACTACTTCTAATTGACTGTCTCTCTTGAAAACAAACCAAACCCCTTGGTGCAATTTTTCCAGATTCTCGAATTCAAAAGTTTCTGGAGAATTATCTTGCCTCGAGTCATCAGAAGTCATTACCTGCTATTCCTGGAGGATTAGGCCCTATTCAAAGAGAGCTGGAAGAGATTGCTGTCAAGTATGTTCGTCTTGTCAACTACAACAAAATGGTCTTCAGCCCTTACTACGATGCAATCCTGGGCAAAATACTGACTAAGGAAGAATCCCGACTTGCAGGGAAGTCAGAAGAATCGTAAAACCAGTTTGTATGCTACCAGTATGGTATTGTCAGCTATTTTAAAAAATTGCACCAATCATTTGTCTAGGAAAACAGCTTTCCATGTAAATACTGGTTCCTTTTAGTTCACTGGTGATGATTGATGAGGAAAATACATGAGCTGCAAAAAGGGTTCTGAAGTAAATGACGAGAGAGATGCATTTTTAATGTAAGTATGCAACCTGGGGGAGATGTCTTGGTAGTTTTCTGTCTGGAATTTTTAGATTTTTTGAGCTGATGCTAGGTAGGACAAGTTTAAGAACCAAACTTTGTATTTAGATGGCTCATTTTAGGGTGTTGTACTCTAATTTCCATGAATTTAGTTTAATTAGTCCAGAGCAGATCATCAACAGTCCTTCCCAGAGGGGTGATTTGGCTTTAAAAAATTCTTTCTTTACAGATCTAAGTAGTAAGCTAAAATTCTAGGTAAGAGAAGCTAACAGGGGAAAAAACCAAGCCAAACAGCACTTTATTGTAACATTATGCTTAGTATGGTAGGCTACTAGTTTTTTCTGCATTTTACTGCATATTTAATAGCATTTTTTTGCTGTTTACCTGCAGATGTTACAAAACACATAATATATTTTTGTAGCAAATTTTCTGGTTATTGGGTAACTGTCCTCTGCTATGTACAGTACTTACAAAGGTGGCAATCTTATAGATTGCAGCTGTATTTATCTCTTGTAAAGACTTCAGAAGGGCAGAGCTAAAATGTTTTGATAAAAGTGGCATTTCTTACCTTTTCTTTTTTTTTGCTAGTAGTTTACTCCTTTTTATGTGAAATACTAATTTTAAAGTAAATCTTTGTCATTTTCAGAAGGTGGATTTAAACTGTGTGAAACTTCAGGCTGAAAATTTTACTTGTTTTTTAAAACTACAGCTGGAGATGGTTGCATATTCAATCATATCTTCAAAAATATCCAGGAAGTGCAGAGCACTATTGGAAGTATAAGTGATTTTAATGTACTGTGAGAAGTGAACAATTTGATGTAAGTTTGAATATACAGGGAATATTTTCAGTAGAAGATTTTTTTCACTTTGTAGAGGTGTTCTTGAAACTTAAAATAGTTGTAGGTCTTGAATTTAATTAGCTACGTGTTGTATAGGTGTGTTCACAAAGAGCTCAGTGATCTTACAGCCTTATTGCAATTTCAAACTCAGCTAGGAGGTAAGTAGAGTTGAAATTTCCCTCTAGTTGAGCACAAGGTTGTGTTACAGTAATCAAAACTGGCTGATTTTTATGAAAGCAAAGTTCATAGTTATAAACAGTGTCTCAAGTACTAGACTATCCAAGATAGAACGTGTTGTCATCTTTAAAAACAACCCAACAAGTTATGTAAAATAAATAAAAGGTCCCTTTTGTTGCTCACATCCAGGTTCATTTCATTAATCAATTAGTCAACCAGAATAATAGAACTTCTAGAAGGAAGCACTTGATTATGAATTAGTGTTGATGCTTCCCTTCCCCATTTTCCTTTAAATGTCAGCGTGGATATAACTGCGCTAACTCTGAGTTTGGAGGAAGATGAGGTAAGTAAGACCTTTTATTTCATATTAGCCTGTGCAACAATAAAACAAGTGTTTTTTCATTTGTTACAAACCCCTTCCCCACCAAAACCCCGTAAGAGATCACCAGCTCAGACAAGTGATTTTTCTCTGGGCTAAATGTACTCTGATAGTAAAATGGATGTCTGTCTTTGATAAGTAAGTAAAAAATGAGTAGGTTGGTTAGCCAGAAAAAAAAAGAAAGAGTTCTGAGTAGGTTTTGGGTGTGGTCCATTTCGTAGTTTGAATTGGCAAAGGATACTATAGAGGTCTTCAAGATTGCTGCATCTGCTTACTGTACTGTGTTATTAGTGCAGGATCCACCTCAAAATACAGCTTCAAACAATTCAGTAGTCTGCATAACAAAAGAGCTACCAGAAACATTAGTGCTAGAGCGCGCTAAAGAAATAACAGAGACTCTTTTCATTTTTGTTAAATGAGAGTTGCAGAAGTTATAAATTGCTGCTGTTATTTTATATTTTAGTATTGCCTACAAGCTGCCTTTAAAGGCTCCTGTGAGTTATGTGTACTACACAAATTTAGATGCTGTAGGGGATGATCTCGAGGATGTGGCAAAGAACATCATCATGGTGAAACCACATCCTTAGAAAAGTATGGGACTGCATTACCAGTAGATAAAATTGTACTTGCTTAAATCTAGGAGATGGCTGCTCCCATTCCACTTCTGGAATTCAGGGTCTGGATGTCCATGGCTGCCAGCTCCTGCTTACTCTGACATGGAAGCACGGATTGTGCTGCCACTGGTGCGTGCGTATGGCTCGCAGGGTCGATGCAGTGAGTCCCATCTCTCCTCGCAGTAGAGGCTTCATGTAGGAGAAAGCGCAGCATCTGCATCTGGCTCCAGTCTCACCTTTGGGAGTACACACAGTGGGAGCGAGTGCCCCGCGGGTGGGTTGCAACAGTAAAGGTCTAGAGAGAATGTAATAAATGCCCACAAGTGCAGATCATGTTAGTGATTTTCCTGGGTGCTTTTTTTTAATGAGAGCAGTTGACAAATAGTTTTTCTACATCCTCTTTAAAAGAAATAGGGAGATACAATTAAGCGGCAAAGCAAAAAAGAAATGCTAGGATTGGTAAGGCCAGACCCTACCTCCACGTGAACGTTGATACGGTTATACATGCGCTGTTTCACCGTTTAGCCTGGTAGATGGGAGCACTGACCTAT